AAGAAAAAGAGGAGACAGAGCAAAGTGCCTCTCATAATCAAAGGCACTTTAATACACGTGTATAAATATAAGTGACAGCCTTACTTAGAAAGTCTGAGCTAGACAAGGCTCAGGAATCATCCAGTTCAATGCTGAGTTACACAGAAAAAACTAGAAATCTTCTGACTCCCCAGCCCAGCCCATTTCCCATGATGGAACTCTTCATGGTTGAAGAACACTCTAGTATTCTACTGCTGAGAACAAATGAAAAACATACAAATGTAGCAAGGATTGGAGGAATACTGGCATTTTTGCATGTGTTTATTCATCTCAGCATAAATTGACACACGTACATAAAAAGGTTTTACAGTATTTATGCCTAGGATTACAAAACAGAAGTGTTAATAAATATGTTAGCTAATAACACGTATAATAACAGCTGACCTGAATTGTGCCTTAAACAGGTATACATTGTTTTTAACATAGGGCGACATTTTAGTGCTATTTGGTTTTTAAAAGCTTTGAATAGATTTAAACTCACATTAGAACACATCTAGCCCCCCTCCCTTAATTTAAATCAATTTGTGAAGCATGTATGAGATTTGTGAAGTGCCAACTCCTATGCAAGGGTACTGAATGCCACATAGCCCAGGTGTATTCCTGGATTTGGAAACAGTGAAATACAGTTGTCCTTTGGTATTCCCGAGAGATCTGTCCAATATCTTCTTGGATAACAAAATCCTCAGATGCTCAAGTCCTTTATATATATAATGGTATATTATTTGTATATAGGCTATGCACTTCCTCCAGAAATACTTTAAAATCATCTCTGTATTACATTGCCTAATATAATGCAAATGATATGTAAATAGCACTTTATGTTCCCTCTTAACCTTTGAGGGATTGTTTTGAACACTAAATTGTTTCCCCCCACCAATAATTTTTATTTGGTAAAATCTACTGCAGATGTGAAACTTGAGAATACAGAGGTCCAACTGTACATAATGTGGCTACTGACATCCGATGCATCTAAAATGTACATTTCCATTTTTAGTTCATATCATATCATCTCATGAATAATGATATTGCAGAACAAAGAAAAAAATTAGTAAATGGACTTCTTAATCCAAAAATAAAACTGTAAACTAGGAAAGCATCTAAAAATAATACTGAACACAAAAGAGCACTTTTGTTTACATTACTCTAATAAGATGTTAAAATAGATTATGTCCTGAATCTTAAGGCAAAAGAAGCTCAAAAACACATTCAATGTAAAAATCTTTTACAGAAAGTTACTTAACAGTGCAATAGAATAAATGACTTCTGCTAGAATTACTAAACTGACACTAGAAATTAACAGAAATGCAGTAAATGATTTGGTTCCTACTTATTTGCAGCAAAATTGATGCAGGTTAAGAGTTTTAATTACGTAACAAAATAATTTCCACAGCACTCATTTTCTTAAAGGAAAAGAAGCAGATGTCACCATAGACAGAGAAAACAAATAACTAAAAGTTCAAATCCAAGTTCCATAAAGCTGCCAAGAGTCAGTGTTGGGAGTGGTTCTCAAGGCAAAGAATAAAAACAGAAAATGAACAAGTTTTAAACTAGTTCCTTTGAGTTCCAAAGAAACCTTGCTTACAATACAAAAGTCATTGTTTGCTAACTAACCACCCTTTCCCCCCAAATACAATTGTTTTTTCATGTATTTGGAAATGTCAGTGTGCAGGGGTTACTTAACTATATGGGAATTTTGAATGAATGTCATAAATGAGCTGTACTCATTTTTAACTCACTTTTAGCTGATTGGTGATCAGGAATATTTTTGCAGCAACTGTTTGTTTGTTTTTTCAAAACAGTGCTGGATTCAGAATTAGAACACCACATTTATATGACCGAATCCTACTAGGAGCAGCAGAGCTCCAGTGGTAAGTCTCAGAGACTGGCAGAACCCCACCCAGCATTCTCCAAATGAAAGCTCTTTGAGTGTATGGCTCTTCAGTTCATTTAATTGATGTACACCCTGATGACTCCATACTCAGGATTGTTGTCAAATTGATCAAGATTCATAGCAATACTATGTGTTCAGGGTAGAACTGTGCTCCAGAGTTTTCTAGGCTGTGACCTTTGGAAGCAGATGTCCAAGCCAGTCTCCTTAGGTGCTTCTGGCTGGATTCGAACCACCAACCTGTCAGCTAGTAGTCAAGTTCTTAAACATTTGTGCCACCCTTCATTGGTTAAAAAACAAAATAAAACTGGTTATTAAGGTGTGCTAGGCCCTCTAGCATTTATTTGCCTTTAATGTGATATTACTGCTTGGAAATCCCCATGATATATAATATTGTCTACGTTTCAAAATTGGTTAGTTAGACACTCATTAGTTATTGATACTAATTCACTTCAGTCATCCTTTAGGTTTCCTGGTATACTTTGTTTTGAGAAGATAAGAGAAAAACCCTGGGATTCTGCTGCCAACCCCCACAGGAAGAGATGTGATGTCTAATACAGATATTCCTTTATTGCAGGAAATGATTAAATACTAAACAAAAACTCCAACTGGGCATGTTATTGTGTGACAGCCAATATCTGATATCTAATACATACTTCTAATAGCTTCTTATGTGAATGATTTTACTTTAGAACACTAATTTTGAAACAGTAAAAATCATTATTTTCAGTTATTGGTTATTGTAGAACAATATCTCAAGTAAAATCACAGTGATAATATTTTATGAATTTGATATTTAAAATATGAAAATATTAGTCTGGCCCCATTTCATATCAATGCCTTAACATAAATAATAAATTTCTAGAGAAAAAAAGTAATACGATATGAAATGTGCATTTTATTAAAAGAACATTATTTGTTGCCTTTGTTATAAGTATTTTTTCTAGTATAATTTCTCCAGTATACCTTTATAAAAGGCCAATAAAGTCAAGCAATACAAAGTCTGAATTTTTCTTTCCTAAGATGATTAACCAAGTTGCCAAGATACCCTCTCTCAATTCTTGAGTAATCCTTAGCAAGCATACAATTCACCAGAATACATTCTAACTGAAATCACAAATTCCATTCCTTTAGAACATGCATAGGATTCAAGATGAACATTTCTAAATATACTTAACTGATACCTTTCATAACCACCAAGTCTCAAAAAGCATAATGTATTTCCAAATCATCCACTGGTTTCTACAGAGATGACAACTCCAATCACTGGATTCACTAGCAAGTTAATATTAAGGTATGCATGATTTCATCCAATTATGTTACAGTAACTTTAAATATGTATATTTTTTAATAGAAGAAAATGAATGGGATTCAGAATCCAGATCCGTTAGCCTGCCTGTGACTATATATTTATTTTTACTCTTAATAAGTATTAAGTCTTCTCAATACATATGTGGAAAGTAAAATATTGTATCAAATAAGGAGCCATCAATTAACATGTTTTTAGTTCTTGCATTCTGGCATACTAAAGAGTTTCATGTTAATTTTATTGGGATATGGGAATTTGTAATTAGGTTAATGTAGCTTACTTACAAAATCACAAGAAAAATGTTATTTCCCATATCTTAATATGTCCACTACCATCCTGCCAGTTTCATGGAATGATGCTTCTAAAAATTAATCACCCTTATCAGAATTACAAAATACTTACTTAAAACACTGTAAGTGGTGGGTTCAAAATGGGTTGAGAGGTTTGCTGCTTTTAGAGCTGTCAAAAAGACACAATTTTACCCTTCCCTTTTTGTTTTCAGGAATATTTCAACCCATTATACAAAAATTAAAGTTGAGTATAGCTGGCTATAGGTTCCTCTTAAAATAAACAATCATCCTAGTCAGGAAAGTTTATCCATTCAAGATATGATCTTCTATAAGTATTTACTCGCCAAAGATTAAAAATACAAATAATGGTAAATCATCACTTTATCACTAACATTTCTTTGACTTAAAAATGTTAAATTAATCTCTGTTGAAGAGTGAGATGCAACTGTTCTTAATGTATGTGTCCACATCTAAGGTGTCATATCTGTAAAGGAAAACTTACAATGCTTACAGGGTAAAATATCATATTGGTAATCAAAGATTTTATCTTTAATATCTACTAATCTTTCTTTTCAGAGTTGACTCAACCAAAACTTAAAAATCAGTGGCATGAATTTACCCTAAATTAAAAAGATTTTAAGAGCTTAGTTATAATTTTAAATTTCTAGATAAAAAAAGAGAGAAAAGGAGTGTTTAATCTTCTTTAAGTGATTCTACTAACAGTTCATGTTGGCCCACTTTATAATCCTTATTTATTTCCATAACCCCTAGGTTCCTGCCTGGCATTCTAATCCTGTGGTAAGCAACCAAACCCACTGCCATGGAGTTGATTCCTATTCATAGTTACCCTTTAAGACAGGGTTTTAAAGTGTCCCATAGTGTTTCCAAGGTTTATGATCTTTATGAAGCAAACTACTTCATCTTTCTAGAGAAAAGGCAGGTGGATTGCTGACCTTTGGGTTAGCAGTCAAGCACTTTAACCACTGTGCCATCAGGGCTCCTTTGGTAAGCGACAGGTACTCTTCAAAACCTGAATCTGGCCTACTTAATTTCACTCCGGAGCTTGAGTACACCCTGGTTACATCGAGATCCCACGCACAGTAACTTGGAGCTGAAGTTTAATCTTTTGGTTCCATTGGCTTCTCCCTTAGGAATCCTATCTTATTTGAAAGGTTATCTAATTTGAACACATCCTACATCTTGTGTCCTCGACCTACTAAGCAAGGAGAAGCAAAGGGGAATGCAGAGGAGGGAAGCTGATTTTTAAATGGTATTGCAAAAATGTCTTCAAGGCCCTATGACAAGCTTCTAAATTCAAGACGTTAAAAATGATCCAGAATCCCCAGCAGCCTACTCCTACAACTCTCTCCGCCCTTTCACCTTCCCTTTCCCATTTTGAGATTTCAGCCCACGTGGGTTGTTTCCGTAGTCCCAGAGCTGACCTAGGGAGATTTCTAGCTGACCTCGGCCTTCCCTATGCAGTCCCCTGTTCCCCTTTGTCCAGCTTTTCAGGCAAGGTGAGCACAAATGGGAAAAGCACGCCTCGGGCATCGAACGGGGCTTTGAGCAATTCCAGCTCGAAGTTGCCCTTCTGGCCTCCATCGTCTCCAGGCTCTCCATCCTGGGAGAGGACAAAGCGCCAAGTGCCCGCACGGTTCACACAGTAGATGGTGCCTTCTAAGGCCGCGCACCGGAAAGGCTGTAGGCCCGAGAGTCCACCCGGAGGCCGCAGGTTCGAGGCACATTGACTCCACTGCTTGGCCAGGCAGTGATAGCGAAAGACATTGACCCCTCCGCTCGTAGCGGCCACCGCCTGGAGATCGCCGCGGCCCCCGCAAAGATCGAAGCGATAGATGAAGCCCTTGAGGGCCACCATGTCGGCTGACCGCTTGCGGCTACTACTACACGGGCACTCCTGCCACTCGTCGCGCCGGGGATCGTATTTGAGCAGACGGTAGAAGAGCGATCCCCCAGACACGTAAATCTCCCCGTTGCAGGTGGTAGCTTCGTGGGCTACAGCGAAGGCGCCCTTGGGCAGTGGGGCCACGGAAGTCCAGCGGTCGGTGCGCGGGTCATAGCGCTCGACGCTGAACAAACACTCGCCGCCTACAGCATATAAATAGCCGTCCAGGGCCAGCAGTTTGAGCTGCGAGCGAGGCTGGCCCAGGGGTCGCACTGTGCTCCAGCTGTCAGTCACCGGATTGTAGCAGAACACCTTGTCTGAGAGGCGGGCGCGCCCCTCGGGCCCCCCCTGCAGGATGCCCCCTGCCAGAAAGAGGTAGTTGTAGAGCACGCACATGGCACAGCCCTTGGCGTTGGCGCCCTCGGGAAGCCGAGTCAGGATCCGCCACTCTTTGTCCGCTTCCTGGTAGTAGTAGATGACAGAGTCGCTGTGGCCATCCTCGTCCTCTGAGAGAGTTCGGGCGGAGGGCGGCGGTGTGGACGGCGGCTCTCCGGGAGACTGCGCCGCGGAGGTGGCTGCGGCAGAAGGGCTCTGCGGCCGGCTGCTCTCCCGGCTCTGCGGCCGACTGCCCACACGCTCGAAGACGTCGTTGATTTCCGCCGCCAGGAGGCAGCCGCGGCCGCTCTGCAGTCTGCGTTGCAGAATGAGGTCTCTCTCCGCGCCGGTCAGGCGGCCATAGACGGCCGGCTCGCGCAGCACTTCGAGGTAGTGGTCACTCATGAAGCGATAGGCGGCCTCCCTGAGTTCACCAAGCCGCTGCTGCTTGGCCAGGCACAGTACCTGGTAGCAGTTGGCAAGAGTGATCTGCGTCCTCATGGCGTCCATGGCGCACTGCACGGCGCAGGGCATCTGCAGGAAGCGAGCGCCAGCTACCACCTCGGCGACGTTGTCCTGCCGCACATCCCCCATGCGCCCAGTGTACAGATAGTCCACCAGCAGCCGCAGCGCCACGTAACTCACACCCTTGATGCGCAGAATCTCCCGCGACGAACGCGCCCTAAAGTAATCGCTCTTGGCGGCCAGTACTGTTTTGTGCGCCTGGATGCGGCGTCCGGCCACCTCGATCACCAAGTCCGGTTCCTCCGCTAGCCCGCCGCCTGGCGGCGCACTGCTGGGATAACGGCCGCTGCCGCCCCTACTCTCCTCCCTGGCGCGGTTCGGCGGCGGCGCTTCTCCGGGCGGGCCTCCAGTCTGGACACAATAAGTGACAGGCGGAGGCTGCGGCGTTAGGCTCTCCCCCGGCTCCCTCGGCGCCGCCTCTTGCTGCGCAAGTTCTTCGGACGTGGCACTAGCGCTGCAAATTTCCCACTGACTCTTCACCACCCGGCTTCCTCCGAGAGAAGATGGGGAGGCTGGTATGTCCTCCGCCGCCGCGGAAGACGCGGTTGCACAAGACTGCGGTGGAGACTCGTCCCCGGAGCTGAAGCACAGGGAGGAGCTGAAACTGCATGGTGTTTGCGCTAGGGACTCAACGCCTTCTTTTCCGTTAATTCCGGTCCCCTGGTCCTCTTCATCTGTGTCCAGCTGCTGTAGGCTGCTCTCTCCAGAAGTCTCAAGGGCGTCTCCCTGACCCCCAGCCTCTGTACATACTCCATTAGCAAAGGCGCCCCCAGGCTTTGACCCACTAACGTTGTTGTCACCTGGGTAAAGCACACAAGGAACTACTGAGTTCTCCATGGTAGGGTTTTTTCTTAGTTGCTGCCCCCAGTTCAGCAGCTGTACATAATCGCCCTGACTCAGGCTGGTCAAGGTTAATCGTTACTCTAGGTTTTCTTGCTTCACGTTTTTTTCCTGGCACGTGATCAGATTTCACTTCAGTTTCCACACTTTTTGTTTGCTCACAGGCGGATCCCCTTTTGTCCTTCACACACTTTCTTGCAAAGAGGGGTGTGTCTAGTTCTAGATGCACTCTGTTCTGAACTTTTGAACCATAATAAATGTTAATGTTATATGGCTATCTACTAAGAAAGTCTTCATGAATTAGCCTCAATGCCAATTTGGTATTGGTTTAATTAAATGTACAGGAACGTCCTGGAACTACAATGGGTATTTCATTTATAGTTCGGTTTCTGTAGAATTGAGTTATCAACGTGTCTCTAACAAACCAGGGCATGCCACTTTTGTGAATCAATATTTACCCCGTTTATCACTTTACATTTGACTCTTCATTCCATTACATTTCAGCTGCCCATAGAGTCAACAAATCTGAGTCAGACGGAAACTTTAGACTCTTGATTTTTATCTCTTTTTCTGTTTTTTATAGAATCGCCCAGTGAGTTTTCATTTTGTGACTCCCATTTGTGATTCTGCTTTATGAAAGTATCTTTGTCCTATCCACACTTATCATCTGAGCAGAGAAGCAACAATCCATAATTCACTTGCCATGTGGGTGCTTGAAATAACAATTATTGTAATCATGTGAATGGTCTTCCTCATTTATCAATCATGAACCTTCCTTTGCAGTTTCCTTTGTTGGGATATCAGGTGTTTCCGTATCATTTCACCATATTTTTCTTGTTCCTGTTTATAGAAGAAAAAGAGAAAGTGTTTGAATTTAAACATTTTTCAACAGAATTATTTTGTCTTAGTAGAGCCCACCATACTTCCTTCCACATCTTTCAGGTTACAGAATGTAGATTTGATAGCAAAAGACATTCTCTGAATATTTTGATGACTAGGATTTTCATCTCTGGATATTTTGATGACTAGGATATAGAGGGAGCACTGGTGTGGTGCTAAAAGGTGAACACTGGATTGCTAACCACTAGATTGGTGGTTCAAACCCACCAGTTGCTCTGCAGAAATCCTAAACAGGTCACTATAAGTCAGAATCGTCTCAACAGCACTTAACAATATCAACAACAGGATACACAGAATTATTTAGGTATATAAAAAATGATGGCCGTTTAGTAGTCTTCCTGTGATTTTCATGACTATTAAGAGCCCAAGTCAGGCAATGAACATTACCAAAAGTTAGGGTCTTAAATATATTATGTTGTTATTGTTGCTAAGTGCCATCAAGTCAGTCTTCGACTCCTAGTGACCCTGTCTAAGGTTTCTGAGGAGAGGCTGGTGGGTCTGAGCCTTGTCGTTCAGATCAACCTTGCAATCCAGTGCATTATCCTGCAACACCACACCAGGACTCCATATATTGGGTTGGACCACATGAAATAGCTAGTTTTCATAGGCCAAGGGAAGTTAAATATCAACAATTCCATATTTTCAACCTAATAAAAAATACATAACCACAGTCTCAGGGAAACTAAGGTCATCTGGCATAAATATTCCACAAAACAATGTTCCACATCCTACTTAAGTGAGTAGTGAATGGAGAGCTAAACATTTGTGGGCAACTACTTGACTCTCTCTGTCGGTAGCAAAGAAAAGTAAAGAAAATCAAAGATGCAAAGAAATAATTTGTCCAAAGGATTAATGGACCATGTGAACCCCAGGCTCCACAACTCCTGAGACCAGAAGAACCAGAGAGTGCTCTACTACCAATGGTGACTGCCCAGAAACAGATCACAGTAATAGGTACTGGATAGACTAGGAAAAAAAATTGTGGAACAAAACTCAATCATTAAAAAAAAAAAAGACTAGACTTACTGGTCTGGTCTGGTAGAAACTGGTGGAACCTCGAAACTATATGGCTGATACCCTTGAAGTCCAGAATTTAACTCACCCCTGTGGCTTAACTTTCAGCCAACCAATAGGCCTATATTAAGGTGAACAATAACACCAGTGAGGTGCGCACTTCTTAAAACAATTAAGCCATATGGGATCAAAAGGGCAGCATTTACCCAGGGATAAAGCTCAGAAGGCAAAAGAGGATAGGAAGGAAGGACAAATGCACATGGTAAACACAGGGAGGAAGTGGAAGAATGCTACTGTGGGGATTGCAATTAATGTCAAAAATTAAATGTGTATGAATTGTTACATAAATTTTCACCCAAATCACATATATGTATATTTGTTGTTGTTGTTACATGCCATGGAGTTGGTTCCGACTCATAGTGACGCTGCATAGGGTTTCCGAGGCTGTGAATCTTTACTGGAGCAGAAAGCCTCATCTTTCTCCCATGGAACAGCTGGTAGTTTCGAACTGCTGACCCTGAGATTAGCAACCTGATTAGTAACCACTACACTGCCAAAGCTCCATATATCTTCAAAAAGTCCATGGAAAGAATCTCTTAATTATATTTTTCCATGAACTTTTTGAAGCCTCGTCATATATATATATATACAGGAGTCCTAGTGTGGCACTGTGGACTAATGTGTCACACTGTAAAGTACTTGGACCTGTATGGTCACCAGCTGCTCCATGGAAACCCTATATGGCGTCGCTATGGGTGGGAATCGACTCCATGGCATTTAACAACAACAACAACATATATATATAATTGCAATTTCCTTTTAATGAGAAAACAAAACAAACCATGACTAGGCTCTGTCAGTTTATAAACATGTAACATTTTTCCTTTACTTTTTTTCCAACCAATTATTTTAAATTTAGTTACAACAAATGTTTGGAGAAAGGCGCTGAAGGCACTTCTCTGGAATTGGTTTCCTCCAATGACATACATTGTGGATCCCCAGGGGATCCAATTCCTAAATCTGTTTAACTGGTTGTTCTTGAAATTGCTTATCTGATAAACCTCAGAGAAGCAATTCTCCAAATAACCCAAATGCAGCAAAAGAAATGTAGAAGCCAGAAAGATGTGTGTGGAAGGTAGATGGGGGTACCCACTTATGCCTGAATTAAAATAATGTAATTTGTAAATTGGCAAAACCTTCACTGAGACTCCCTAATCCACTGAATGGAGACTTAAAGGCCTTCTGAGTGTCACAAGGGGAAATCCAAATTGCATTTTCACTTTCTAAAGAAGAGAATGTCGGGGGTAAACAAACAAAAATCTACAAGCTACAATTCAGAGCTTGTCATTGCTGTATAGAATAGAAGGATGTGTTCAGCGTACAAATGAAATAGATCAAATGATACTAACTGCCCTTTACTCTGCATCACTCTTCTGATTTTATACTTCTCGTACAGATCGTGACCTAGTATCTAAATGCTCAGGGTTGAGCATTACATACCAGGTGGTTCTGCCCTTCCTACCAGTCACTGAAAAAGCTTCTCCATTATTCTCAAAAATTAGTGTTTTGACATTGGAAATTCAAGACATTCAATCCTCTCTATATGTCTGATACCTTCAAACAATGATATATGTATATTTATTTTTTGCATGCTCACTATGTGTAAGGCACTGTCCCAGGATACAATGTTAAGAAATTGTGAGAGTAACCTGAAACTCTGATCCATGGGGTGTGTAGGTCATAGACAATACTTAGCAGAACAGAATGCTCTTGAATGTTTACTCAGCTGTACACCACCCTCACTGTAATGTCCTGCTTTCCACTGGTGCTATAGTCAAGGAAATGGAAATGAACACTGGCTCACAGAGATGAGAGTGGAATGACAAATTGTAAAACCTTTAAAGATGTTACAAGGAAAGTTCACTGGAATTCTCCCAAGGGTTTCAGAAGTGTTTTTCTAGTGAGCTAAGTTATTCCAGGGAAAGTTAGATAAAAATTAACCCACCAAAACCCACTGTCAGTGAGTTCTTTCAGTTATAGCAGTATGCTTTAACCAGTGTGTCACTAGGACTCCCTAGATAGAAATTAAGACATATTCGAATATATTATTAAATATATATCAAACCAAACTCACTATGTGCATAGAGTCAATTTCAACTCATTAGCAACATTAACGATTCTGAGGTGGCAAATCTTTACAATCAAAGAAAGCCTCATCTTTCTCTCTTGGAACGGCTGGTGGGTTTCAATGCCAGCCTTGGTGTTAGCATTCCAGTGCTTATCCTACAGTGCCACCAGGGCTCCATATGAAATATACATGCATATACCTTAATATCTGAAATGAAATCAGAGAACTAGCTTGGTTATTTAGCTCATCCTTTTCATGCCTCGTCTGTAAAATATTACTAGAAAGTAACAGCATTTTTTTTTCTCTCCTTTTCGTCTGCTAAAAAAAAAAAAAAAACACAACACCTTCTAGGGTTTCTCTGATATCACTCTGATTAGAATGTGTAGAAAAGCCTAAGACCTGAGAAATAGCTCTGGTAGCACAGTGGTTACGAATCAGGCTGCTCACCTCAGGGTCAGCAGTTTAAAACTACCAGCTGTACTGCGGGAGAAAGATGAGGCTTTCTGCTCTTGTAAAGATTTACAGCCTCGGAAACCCTGTACAGAGTCGCTATAAGTCAGAACCAACTCCACAGCACATAACTACAACAACAACAAATCATCACAGATTGAATAAGGGAACAGAATAGAGCATATTGAAATGCTTAGTTTTAGAACTTTGTTCTTTAAAAATCCTTCAGAATCCGTCCCCGGAGAAGGACATCATGCTTGGTAAAGTAGAGGGTCTGCAAAAAAGAGAAAGACCCCCAACAAGATGAATTGGCACAGTGTCAGCAACAATGGGCTCAAGTAAAAATTGTGAAGATGGTGGATGACCAGACAGTGTTTTGTTCTGTTTATAGAGTTGCTCTGAGTTAGAACTGACTCCACAGCACCTAACAACAACAGAATCAACTTAAAGCTAAAAGAACCAAGGTGATAGTATGTTTTGTTGTCACTACGATGAAGAAAAATGAACTAAAAGATACATATAAATGATAAAATACGTATAAGATAGTGACTAGGCCGAGAGAATCGGTTCTTCTTCCAGCTACTCCAAAGAAAGTATAATTGTTATGTATCTCTAAAAATTGTGATTCTGGATTTACATCACCCTGGTGTGGTGCTGTGGGTTAATACGCTGAACTGCGAAGTCTGTTTGATCACAAGGTCTGCAGTTCAAGCTCACCAGCTGCTCCTTGGAAACCCTATACAGAGTCACCAAGAACCCGACTTGATGGCACTTAACAACACAACAACAACAACAAAAAGTAGTTATTGTAAGTATTCTTAAATTGTTTCCTCCTGAGGTATATTTCTAGTACAGATAATGATTTGGCAATACTCCATCCTCGCTTTCTCACCTTTCCCCATGTACCCCTAAGCATGTGTTACGAAGTAAGTGGGCAGGGGCCATGAAACAGCATAGCACAGTTATACCAATCCCACTGTGATCAAACTATATAAATCTTTTAGCAATCATTCAACAAGACAATCAGCTATAGGTACAAAAAATAATCGAAGGCAATGACTATCTGTTTACCATATATTCATTAAAATTGGTATTGGAACATCATCTGTGACTATGATGTCAAAACAGTGCCAAGAGCCATTTCCTAATGTTGTTGTTGTTAGGTGCTGTTAAGTCAGCTCTGACTCATAGTGACCCTATGCACAACAGAATGAAACGCTCTTCGGTCCTGTGCCATCCTCACAATTGTTAACACTTGAGCCCATTGCTGCTGCCACTGTGCCAATTCATCTCATTGGGAGTCATTCTCTTTTTGCTGACCCTCCACTTTACCAAGCACAATGTCTTTCTCCAGGGACTGGTACCCCCTGATTATATGTCCAAAGTATGAGAGAAGAAATCTCTCCATCCTGGCTTCTAAGGAGCATTCTGGCTGTACTTCTTTCAACACAGATCTGTTTGTTCTTTTAGCAATCCATGGTACTTTTAATATTCTTCTCCAACACTATAACTCAAATGCATTAATTGTTCTACAGTCTTCCTTATTCATTGCCCAATTCTCACATGCATATGAGGCTATTGAAAATGTCATGTCTTGGGTCAGATGCACCTTAATCTTCAAACTGACATCTTGCTCTTGAACACTTCTAAAAAGGTCTTGTGCAGCAGATTTGCCTAATGCCATACATCATTTGATTTCTTAAATGCTGCTTCCATGAGTGTTGATGGTGGATCCAAGCTAAATGTAGTCTTTGACAAGTTCAATCTTTTTCCAATTTATCTGGATGCTATTTATTGATCTAGTGGTGAAGATTTTTGCTTTCTTTACATTGAGGTGCAACCCATATTGAAGGCTGTGGTCTTTGATCTTCATTAAGTATTTTAAGTCTTTTTCGTTTTCAGCAAACAAGGTTGTATGATCTGCATATCGCAGATTATAAATAAATCGTCCTCTAATCCTGACACCAAGTTTTTCTTCATATAATCCAGTTTCCTGGATTATTTGCTCAGCATACAGATTGAGTAAATACAGTGAAAGAATACAACCCTGACACACATCTTTGCTAGTTTTAAACCACTCCATATCTCCTTGTTCTGTCCTAACAACTGCTGGTGTATGTACACGTTCCTCTCTTTTGGTGTATGTACAGGTTCCTCCTGAGCACAATTAAGTGCTCTAGAATACCCATTTTTCACATTATTATCCATAGCTTGTCAAGATCGATACATGTGAAAGCTTTTGCATAGTCAATAAAGCACAGATAAACATCATTCTGGTATTCTCTTCTTTCAGTCAAGATCCATCTGATGTCAGCAATGACATCCTCGTCTGAATCTGGTTTGAACCTCTGGCAGTTCCCTATCAATGTATTATTGTAACTGTTTTTGAATTAACATTAGTAAAATTTTAATTGCATGTGATATTAATGATATTGTTTGATGATTCCCGCATTTCATTGGGTCTCCTCTTTTTGGAATGGACACAAAATATGGATCTCTTCCAATCATTTGACCTGGTAACTGTCTTCAAAATTTCTTGGCATAGATGAGTGAATACCTCCAGTGCTGCATCAGTTTGTTGAAATATTTCAAATTGTACTCCATCAATTCCCAGAATCATGTCCTTTGCCAGTACTTTCAGTGCACTTTGGACTTCATCCTTCAGTAAAATTGGTACTTAATTACATGCTTCCTCTTGAAATGGCTGAATATTGACCATTTCTTTTTGGTATAGCGACTCTGTGTTCCAATTCACAGCTACCCTGTAATTGGATTCCAAGGAGTGGCTGGTGGATTTGAACTATCAACCTTGGAGTTAGCAGTTCAGTGTTTATCCTACTCACCACACCAGGAATCCAAACAGTAGCGATTCTATATTCGAGTACTGATAGGCCGACATTAACAGTCCTTCCTATATTGAAACTACCAAAAACAAAACAAATCTGTCCTCAATTCCAATTTATAAAGACAGAGCAGAACACCCTCATGGAGTTTCCAAGGCTGTAAATCTTTACAGAAGTATACTGCCACATCTTTCTCCCACTGAGCAGCTATTGACCTTTTGGTTAGTAGCTGAGTGCTTTAACCACTGTGCCATCAGGGCGCCACATTGAAGCTACCAGGAGGCAGCTCTTTTCAAAGATGACTTCATAGCACTAGAACTATCTGGCTGGTTCTGTCTCTCCTTGAAGAAAAGATGTGCAGTATCACGAAATTCCATAAGGCCATATTCATTTTCAAATGATGGTAAGGAAATTCACCACTAAAGGCTGTGTAATTTTCCCCTCTTCACTGAACCATTACTGTCATTTTACTTTAAATTGGATGGGGAGGAGTCAGCCCATTTTGTGTTTGATAGTCCTCTCAGACCCCAGCAACTCTGCTAAGGCTATTAGTTTCCAATTTCTTTGAATTAGAAGTTGTGGGCTTCCAAAGGGATTTTTTACCTCTCATTCTGTGGTTGGTGTCAGCATCAGAATTCTCTACTAAAAGGCTATTGAGGATTCTTTTCCATGGGCCCATCCTTGATATTGGGAAATAACGGAAACTCCTGACCTGGTTGGGATATAAGGAAGGATTATTTTTCCTTAGTGGTTATCATTAAGCATTTCCCTGAACACCACTTTTGAAGTCTGTCACATTCAAATGACAAACACAGTACATTAATTGAAAGGAACTGGGAGGAGGGAAACATTAACATTGGGAAATAATTAGAACAAGCCTTAATTAAATATAATTAATGCAGCGTTCCCTCCTGAATGAAATAAATGTGTTTCTGACCTGATAAATACCTAACCAGAATTTTTAAAAGAAAAGTTTCTTCCTATTAACTTCTTCACTGAATTAAAAACAAGTAAGATTGTACATGTTTTCCTAACTGTGAACATTATGTACTGACTGTGGACATTAGTTTACTTATTTTTAAAATATGTCATTGTTGTTGTTGTTAAGTACTGTGGAGTCGGTTCCAACTCATAATGACCCCTTCACAGTGTTTCTGAAGCTGCAAATCTTTACAGAAAGCCTCATCTTTCTCCCGTGGAACAGCTGGTAATTTTGAACTGCCAACCTTGAGGTTAGCAGCTGGATTTGTAACAAATACGCTACCAGAGCTCCCTAAAACATAGCATTAGTTTATTTTAAATGAGACCTCATGCTTCATTATAATAATACCCATTGCTAAAAAGGAATCTTCCTCTCAATTAATTAGCTTTAAAAAACTGCTAATAAACTAGGAAACTTTTTTAAACTTCTATAGTATATGTTAAACAATATAAAATATTAATTCTGTGCATTTCCCCCCACCTCCACAGCTCCAATTCCTTGAGAAAAGTGTGTGTCCAGCTCAATGTGTACCTTCTACATCAGAAAGATTACCTAACTATAGTAAATCATGAATACATTGTGAGATTCATTAGAAAGAAAATTCATACATAAAAGAAAAAGTATAGATCTTAGAAAGTGGTGGGACACCTCAAGGTCATTTCTGTTTAATAATAGAATATGCTGATTCACTTCCACTGTTGATAAAGATATTTTTTCAAGGCTATTTTGTCTTTGGGTCCTAATTAGAAGTAGTTTATAACTTCTAAGCACATATGAGTGAGAATGAGAAGAGATGGCCTACAGAGGGTTGAGGAAGAAAGCTGGCCTGAGACTGCAAACTGACTGTAAATGTTCCATGAAGTTTATAATCCTCACTCCAATCCCCAAATACATTTTCTCAATTCTCTTTAAAATTACCACCAAAATGACGTAAGCAGAATTACACAGTCCAAAGCCAGTCTGCTAGAAGCATTTTTCAAGAAATATTTTTTTCATTTTGAAATTCATTAAATATGCTGTATGGCTACTAAAATCAAGGTAGCATGCTGAGTCTTGGAAGGACATGAAAAGTCATACATTCTTGGTCTCTGTCTTCAAGGTATCTATAGTTAGATCAAAAATGGCATGTTAAATGAATAAAATAAAATTTAAATCAATTGAAGGCAATATATTCTCTGTAGTTTAGAAATGGAAAGAGTGTCTAGCATGGTGAAGTTCATTTAGTAATTTAATGAGTTAGTTTTGTTGTTGCTGTTGTTAAGTGCTGTTGAGTCGGTTCCGACCCATAGTGGCCCTGTATATGGTTTCCAAGGAGTAGCTGGTGAGCTTGAACCACCAACCTTGTGGTTCAAACCGACATTGCAGTCCAGTGCATTAACCCACAGCACTAAATCAGGACTCCAAATGAATAAGTAAAGGTCATCAATTAAGTTAATTAAGTTCACTTCTATTCCATGAGAGTGCAAGCTACAATTTTTCTTTTTTCTCTTTTTAATAAAGGACATTCCTAAAAGTCTAGAGTAACTGTGATATAACCTAATTCCATAACACTAATAATAAAAATAGAATAGTTATGATAGTTAGGGTTCTGTGCCAACCTGACTAGGCCAGGATTCTAAGTGGTCTGACAGTTAAGACATAGTAATCCCTCGTGATGAGATCTAATGCAATGCAATCACTTCCATGATGTTAGGAGCAGCCAGTCAGTTGAAAGGACATTTCCTCGAGGATGTGATCTGCTTCCAATATATTTGATACTCAGGCTAAGTTTGCTTGTTTTTTTGCTGGGTCTGGATCCTGCATTTGGCTCATCTGACCAGTATGTTGGACTTAAGCCAGCAGCCTGCTGTATTGCCTGTTAATCGTGGGAGTCATCAGTAGTCTGTTATCTTAACTGCCAACCTCATTCACCTCAGCAACAAGAATCCTGCCATCTGACATACCAATCTTGGGTTTATCAGCCCCTGCAGCTAAGTGAATCAGAAGAAGCCTCCACCCTGGCATCTTAGTTTGAAACTAAGTACTTGGAACTTGCCTGCTTCTACAACTGTGTGAGCCATTTCCTTGATATAAACAT